TGGCGCGCGCCGTGGGGGGGGGGGGGGGGGCACTTTTTCAAATTTATTTCAATTTGAAAAGGAGGGGGTGGCTAGGGCATGAGAGGGAAATTAGATTAGGAAAGCTTTTGTATTAAAGAGGATGAGAGGATTAGGGAAGATTAGGTTTTGATTGATTGGAATTAGGGTTTCTTGGCGACTTGGGCTCTAGACTCTCTTGTCTAGAGATTTGGGAGAGACGATCCTCCTCTCGAATTGAGGATCAATTGTATCTTGCTTTGAGTTTTGCTTTGCTTTGTTTCCACTATTGCAATCTATCTTTTCTAGATTGATTTGTCCAGTTTTTCTTGCTGTTTTGAACCAATTATTGTTAGGGTTGCTTGCGAACTCAAGTAAATTCGATAGGATTACTTGCGAACTCAAGTATTTCCTATCAAGAGCTTAACAAAATCTTTTGCAACCAAAAACTATAGTATCATTAGTAATATCAGTAGTAATTTTTGAGTGACTTAAGGTTCTAAAAGCTTGATAAAGTTTTGATTGAAGCATCATTGCAGAACAAAACGTTAACACCAAAGCATCACAACTTTAGCATTTTTTAGTGTCTACCCAAATTGGATACTGGTTTGGTGACTATATTTGTGTCAAGTCATTGACTTTGGACTGTAAACATGAATCAAGACACCTGATCGGGACTGTAAACATTGATTATTCCATACAGATTACTTGCAGCTTTCTAGTAGCTGTAGTGCGACTACTGTGGATTGATTTTTTTTTTTTTTCCCTTTTTGTTTTTTGTTTCAGGCACTACTAGCAATTAAGAGCCTACTGCAACTCCCCTCCACAGATGCTTTAGATTTCAAGAATTTCTGTGACCTTGAAAAAGTTCTGGAAAGACTAAATGATCAGCTGGGGAAGATAAAGAAACAAGATGACTATTATGATGAAGAAATAAAAAGCCTTATAAGAGAAATACACATCATTTTTCATAGAAAACTAGACAAGGTTTTTAACTTGATTTCTCATTTTTCTCATGTAGGTTTCGTTTGGGGCAGTTTTCTTCTTGCTTCTTAAAGCAGCTTTTTAATACAAAAATTATTATATTTTATTAAAAAATTACTTTAAACAGCAGCAAAAAAGCCGCCCCAAATGAAGCTATAGCTTCTATCTTTCAAAAATTTCTTCTGATATTTTGTTTCAGCATGCAGGTTTCATGGGTTCCAACTTAGAGGATTAGAGTACTTCTCATCAAAGATTTTGTTCATTCTGCTAATTTCACACTGTTTGCATTATGAAGTGAGACTTTCCAGGTCTCAAGTCTCTCAGACAAGTTTGAAATCATTCTTGGAATATTGAAAGGTTCAGATCTTAATTTTTAGTAGCCAAAAGTATTTGATTGAGATGGCTTTGTTATATATGCAGCTCTGTAAATTAAACTGAGGAAAATTTGATTTATGGCCTTTTGAGATGCTTGTTTAGTTAGTTAAAGTTGACCAGAAAGTTAACCCCTTTTTTTTTTTTGCAAGGTTAAGTGACAGTGAGAATGTACTTTTTTGCTTAGAAATATTATATTTTAAAATAGATTAATAAGAAAAGTTGCATCTTTCTTGAATGTTAATGATAGTTAAAATTAGTATTAAAACTAATCAAATCCTTCTAAGAAGTAGTGGAGGGAAAGATCTTTTTATTTGATTATTTATGTATTAGAGAATAAATGAATAAATTTATTAATTTAAGAGTTATTTTTAAATTAGTCTTAAGATTTTAATAATACAAAATGTAATTTCTTTTTATTACAACAATAATATCAACATCAAGCTTTTATCCCTTTGTGGGATTGATAACACGAATCTTTTTTTCTCCGTTGTTTTCTTAAGAGTTAAATTCTCATTATCATTTCTAATACTTTTTAATCAAATCTTTATGCCCATCTCTATTTTTTTTAATATAGATAATATTAAATACATCTACTCTTCTAATTAGATCATTAGAAAGCTTATGTTTAATATGAACCAAATCATCTATAATTTATTTCTATTGGGTATTTAAAAATTTAAATGATTTAAGTAATTTGCATTTATGCATCTTGATAGGAGAATTATAGGAGTTGATTGTCTATTTTTTTTTAACGTAGATAAAATTAAATACTTCTACTCTTCTAATTAGATCATTAGAAAGCTTATGTTTAATATGAACCAAATCATCTATAATTTATTTCTATTGGGTATTTAAAAATTTAAATGATTTAAGTAATTTGCATTTATGCATCTTGATAGGAGAATTATAGGAGTTGATTGTCTATAATCTTAGCTGAGATTGAATTGAAAGGATGGACGGAGACGAACTCTTTAATGCCAAAGTTATGAAATTGATGAGATGATTGTGAGTTTTATCTGGAATAGTTTTTTTAATGTTTTCTAAAATAATTATTTAATAAAAAATTTTTTACAAGAAAGTTGATTTAGAAAGTAATAAGAAAGATGTCTCAAATGGAATCTTAATTGAATATCGTGTGATGACATAGACCGTAGAGACAAGTGCAATTATACTTCAAAGCCTCTATGAAAAATCGAAAACATCAAGCACAATGAACATAGATTATCAAATGTAAGTTTGTTGATGAAAATGAGATTGCGAGAAAATCGTGGAACATGTGAAGTGAAGCTACACAAATCTTACGATTTAGGGTTAGGCTTTGTTTGGGACGGCTTTCATACTGCTTTTTAAAGCAACTTTTTAGTTCAACAACTAAAATATTTATACTAAAATGCTGTTTTAAAAAGCAGTAAGAAAGCTGTCTCAAACGAAACCTTAGTAAGATGCCTTGATAAGTGTGAGAAATATGTAGCATTTGACCATTTTTAACCAACACTTGGATGAAGTGTCAATATTTGACACGACACGAAAACCCGACCCGGAAAATCCGGGTTGAACCCGACCCGATTTCAAAACGGGTCGGGTTCGGGTTCCAGAAATCGACCCGTTTAAAAAACAGGTCGGGTTGGTTTTCCGACCCGTTTGTCTACCCGGGTCGGGTTAGGGTTGACCCGTTTGAACCCGGGTCAGTTCCGAGTTTGACCCGAACCCGACCCGTGACCCGAAATTGACACCCCCAATAGCATCATATGATTTTGAATTTTGAAGAGATTTGGGATACTTATTCCTTTGAGATATATTTTAGGGATGCGATGCTTCGTACGATCAACTATTTGATATTAATTTCTCTATATTTTAACAATGTTAGCCATTATATATCTCACAATAACAATGAAATATAAAATAAATACAAATGCTTTATCATTAGCAATGAATAAATTTTAAATTATATATTCATTTTTATTTCCTAAATAATAACTAATACAAGGAAAAATATTGGATGAGAATTTTCAAATCAATTTTTGATAAGAATGAGATCCAAAGCAATTAATTTTATTTTGAGATAAGTGCGATAAACATTTTTCATGCATTACACTCATTCTATAGCAAATTTAATTATTTTAAATACAATTTTGATAAAAACTTTGAGAATATTATTAGCCATTAATATAGGCCAATAAAACATTTGGATGTTCATTCTTAAGTTATATAAAAATGACTAATGTATGACTAAAAATAATTATCTTTTAATATTCAAAATTATATAAATGCTTTAAAAAAGAGAAGAATTGACTGTATATACTACCCTCTATAGTCATAATTGAAGAAATATTGCTAATAATTTATTTCAAATGAGGTAATCTGAATGTGCCTTAACCTCATTATATGTTGAAATATATCATGAAAGAAATTAGATCAAAGTTGAATTTAGTCCAAACCTCATTCGAACCTAATTCAAATATTGTTCGATTTGATTTTAAAGATATATTGCTTGGTATTGCTAGGTATTGCCAAATGCATCGAAGGGAATAACAGTCTATGAAGGATATATGAATTTTGAAATGAGAGCTTGCTAAGGTATCAACATAGCGACAAAGTGTGCATGATAAGATGATTTCATGATCGGAGTTCGCGGATGGCATCAACACGGTAGCAACTTGTGACATGAGCTCGTCGAGCGCATGAACAAGAGCAATGGCATGTGAAATAGGAAGAAATTTTACGAAAGGTGATTGTCGAGGACATTTATGAGAGCAATTTGTGTAAAGTAGAAGAAACAATATAATTATGATTCGAACAAAGATTCAAATAAACTAGGAATAAATATTTTGAATTAGATTTGAATAAAAATTCAAAGTTGAACAACTTCAAGTCAGTTTCATTGGAATTTTTATTTGGTCCCGTGTCCTGACGTAGCTCTACGTTGGGACACCAGTAAAAATGGTGTCACGTGCCCTTACGACCCTCCCAAAACATGACCCGGGATTGCTATGTATTGGCTGATTTGTGCAGATGGGAGTATTGCTAGGTATTGCTCGATATTCCTCGACAATAACGAGAAATACCATTATGTGAAGATCAATACCTAGCAATATCTATCAATACCCCGATTTTGCTAGGTATTGCTCGGTATTGCTAGGTATTGTTCGATATTGCTTGGTATTGCTAGGTATTTGTAAAGGCCATTTTGCTCCCAGGTTCGTCCGGACGAAGTTGGATCGTCCGGGACGATCGATACTGGTTGTGCATGAAAACATTTTTTTGGCTGCATGGATAATCTGGACGAAAGTCGGATCGTCTGGACGAAAATCGTCCAGAGGACAAGTCGTCAGGGACGTTAATTAATTTTGTATGGACAAAATTTATCCAGAGCCAAATCGTCCCGAGACGAAGTTGCGATCGTCCGGGACGATCAGTCTGGATATATAAGAAAATGAGATATTTTGGAAAAAAAAGGACGTCTAGGAGAGAGAAAAACGAAGGAAAAGAGGATTTTTGGGCGACTCCGGTCTGTTTTCGTCCGTTGTGGTAGTTAGAGAAGTTGACCAACTCGAGGTAAGGCACATTCCGCCTTTCTCAATTATCAGAAACGAGATTTTTGACGCGTTTTCTGTTCCGAAATTTGTTTCAATTAGCGAATAATTGATTTTATTTTGCACTGCTAAAGGTTTTACCGCGTAACTTTTGGTATGTCTTTGAGATGTTAATTATGCATGTTTTGAGTATTTTCTGGAAGATTTTTACCGGATATTTTGGATTCTGCGGTGTTTTAATTGAACTGCAAATTATCAGGATGTTGGAAAATATTTTGTCAGTACAATGAAAGTCTTATAATGTTGTTGTGAATTTCTGTAGTAATTTGGTAAATTTTTGAATCTGTGAATTTTGTGTAAATTCCGTATACTGCCGTTATGCCGCTGAATTTTCGTACGATTTCTGAATTTTCTGAAATAAGATGATTTGAATATTTGATGTGTTTGTGCTATCAGAAGGGAGTTATAAGAGGCCGTAATCCTATGTGATCTCCGTTGTCTGGGTCAGGGAATTCTGAAATCTGAAATGAGCTCTGAAATCTGAAAATGTTCCGGAACCTCTGATATCTGTTCTGTTCTGGTGCTATAAGCACAATGGGAGACATAAGGGGTCAGAATCCGTTGAGATTCTGTCTGTGTCAGGGAAGGGAGGCATAAGGGGCCAGAATCCTTCGAGATTCTGTTTGTGTCAGGGACATCTGAAATCTGATATCTGAATCTACTCTGTGAGTTATTCTGATTATTCTGTACGATTCTGTCTGCTCTGTGATTTGAAAGCTTTATGATATCTGTTCTGAACTCTAATTTGATATGACTTCAGTCTTTCGTATCCGATGTTTGATTTCTGATTGAGTTGTTATCTGTTCTGTCTGTTATACGATTTCTGTATGATTGTTCGATTTCTGTACGGATAATTCTCCGATGTGATTTCTGATGATTTTGATTGGTGATTGATGTCTTGCTGAGCTGTTAGCTCATCCTTATTTTCTGCGTGGTTTTCAGGTTCTGGGAAAGAGAAGGAAGTCGTGGATTAGCAATCCAGAGTCTGATCTGTGATTAGGTACTTGATACTTTTGATTTTTGTACAGTCGTGACTTTTCTGTTCGGTTATGTTCCTTCTGTCTGAAGCTATGTACTGTATCTGTATATGATTATTTTGATGAAAGAAAAGATAGATGAACTGCTCTTTGTTTGGATGTTCTTTTTAGTAGCTCTGTGTTTTTTTGTATGTGTCATTTTTGGAAGAAAGTTCTGAAGCAAATTCCAAAGCCAGATCCTGGATTTGTTGGCTCCGTCGCGACCCGATGCGAGCGGGATCCGTCCCGGTCGGGTTGGGTTGTGATAGTATTGATCTTGATAGAGCAGTATTTATCGTTATTGTCAAGCAATACCTAACAATACATGAACATAGCAATACTGGGTTCCTTTCCGGGGTTGGGTCGTCGGGTCGTCGGGCCGCACGTTAAAGAGTAAGAGCACATGACAACATGTTATTAGCCTCCGGATGTAGAGCTACGTCCGGTGTCCGGAGCTAATAATTGTTCATTTCGTTGAGGATTGACTTCAAATCCAAACCTAACTTTCAAATCAAGTGCAGGCCAAGAGATTTTTGAGGTGGGTTGTCAACCGAGGGATTAATTATGGCGCCAAACAACTCCTAAGATATGGCAGCGGATAGATATGCCAGTTATGAAAAAAAAAATGAAGAAGTAATATAAAGTCAAAATTTGTTCTATTATTAATTAAATTCTAATAAAAATAGCCGCAGGTGATCTGGCAGATGAAGCTCTGTCGCGATAACGATAGCAGAGGGCAGGTAACAGCGGCGCTCACTATGGCTTCGCCTTCAGCTTAAAACCTCTGAAACCTTTGGAATTTTGGTCCTCTCTTCGGTAGCTATCGAACAATTGGTAATGGAATTGGCAAGAAATGCGGTGTTTACACCCTGCTCTGCCCTTGCGGTGCCGCCGTGCTCGTTTCTAAAGCCGGTGGTTGTGGGGTTCGGCGGCGGCCGGAGGGAATTGGTGGCCGCGGCCTCGCTGGACAAGGACGGGTTCGGCAGAGGAGTTGGGCCGTCCGGAAGGAAGAAGATTGGTACGGCCAATTCTAACTATGTGGTTCCACTCGACATGCCGACGCCGGGTCTCGTTCGCCCCCTTGCCGAGATTCTCCGCGACCTGAACAGTCGGGTTTCGGAGAAAATAATCAACCCTGAAAATAACTCCATTCCTTGGTACGTCGTCGCTATCGACTCTCCGGTTTATTATGCTTTTCCTTATATATCGATTAGCTGATTGTTTGTCTGACTGATCGAAGATTTGCATTGCTGCTTTGCCGGAATAAGATTTTGTTGAAACCTTATTTTTGATATTTTGAGGCCCCTTGCGATCTTTTGTGGAGAGTTTTTGTTTCTGCGCTGCTCCGCTATTCAGTAGAACCCTACGGTTTCTGCGCAATCGTGAATTTTGAGGAGAACGATGAGGGCTGGAGTCCTCGAATGTATTTTAAACGGCTTAAGAAATCTTTAAATCGCTATTGATCTGCTCGATTGTCTAAGCGAGAGCACTTACAGGATTTCTTCATGACGGGGGTTGAATTTCTGGAAGAAGTGATGATTTGATTTTGAAAGAAGAAGGAAAGTGGCTCAGTTATCTACAACGCATGCTTATACCATGTGAAGCTAAGTATGAGGATGCAGAACGCTAGAGTTAGATGCTACAATTAATGTTGGTGTTAGATTTTGTTTGACGTCTAGGAAGGTGAAAATCTCAATTCGGATGCCAAAATTTCAAGGAATCAAGCATTAAAGCAATGTGAATAGACAGGGACAAGATGGCTATTGATCATATAATAAAACCTGTCAGCCTACGTGCTTCTTCGATGGATCATTGGTGGTGCATTGGATTGCATGTGTTTTTAAGGACAAATTTTAGGAAGTGCACGCTAGGTTCCTATTTTATAAGGCAACTAGGCGAGCCATACATACTTGTTTCTGTGGCAACCCTTATAGCCCGAGCAATGGGCAAATTGCCCTAGTTACCTACTAAATAGGCCATAGCTTGCCATGCATGCACCATTGTGGCAAGCTTAAGGATTATGATTTCTGTCCAGTTGCTTCGGCTTGTAGGCTCCAAATTTATGCATTTTAGAGATTTTTATTTCAATCTTATGAAAAATATTGAATTTGAGTGCATTATTTGGTTTAGCTCGTTTGTTACATAAGCCAACTTTAAATTAATGTTTTTAGTAGCAATCCAAACACTATCAAAAGCTCGGGCTTAACAAGTTTTTGATATATGTGAAAATATTTAAGTACATTTAAATGTATATTATGATTTAGATATTTGCAAATGTTTAACTAAGTAGTTAGTTTACTGTCAAATTTTACCAGATTCATATATTTTATTGTTAAAAATGCTATCAAATGTCTTGAATTTTGTGGCACTTAGAATATGTCATAATATGTAGCCACTTTTTTTTGGGAAATTCAATTGGAGCTATGATACGCCCTAGGGTTCCCAAGTTTGGGTTTGCCCTAATGCTCCTTCAAAGAAAAGATTTCTCCTCCAAATCAAGGAAAAAAATCAACACAAGAGGAATGAGACGAAGAACCAAAACCTTTGCATTCAAAATCCAATGGAAAACAAGATACAATTTGTCCACTTCGAGAAGGACAAGGTCTCCCACTACAAACCCTAGAAAAACAAGAGAAAGAAACTAAGGAGGCTAAGAGAAAACTCAAATCTTGCATAACCCTAGAAATCCCCCCTTAATCCCTACTTATAGCAAGAAAAAGACCCAACCAAACCCACTAGTGGGCTGCCCAAACTGAACCAACCAGCTCAGGCTAGACCTGAGCCAAACCGGTCCAGAAATGAACCGGTTCCGCTCAAGCCGACCCCCCGCTCCGCTCCGC